GAATTCCATACCCAGTGAAAATATCCTTCAAAAGAGAAGATGCACTGGAGACATTTTTAGGAAAATACAAACTGATAGATTTCATTGCCAACGCACCCTTAAGGAAATCTGAGAGGAAAATGACCTTAAGCGTGGAGATAAAGGAGGGGATGAAAATGAACAGAGGGGTAACAAATTGATGGAAAAAGCTAACTGATTGTGGACCCTACAGAACGAATATAATAAGGCCCTGTGGGATTTGACATGTCTAGATAAACAAAGTTTAAGACAACTAGGATATCTAAGCCAGGAAGGAGGGAAAGGGTTTTCTCCTCTCATCCTCTCTTCTCCCTTCCCCTTCCCCCTCCCCTCCTCTTCCTTTCCCTCCCTTCCTCTCCCCCCTTCTCGTCTCTTTGTAGTTCTGAAATATACAATTTTGTTTGATAACAAACACCATAGGGTCAATAATAGGGCACTACTGTCAAAAGAACAAGTGAGTCTTTGGACACATAAGGAAAAACAGAACTTCAGAAATGGGGAAGGAATAAGCTTATTTTATTCAGTGCTCTTTGCACTGCACTAAAAATATTGTGTCCTGTTCTGGGCCTGGCCTTTCAGGGATGTAAGTAACTAGCTGCTGAGGATCCTTGAAACCTAAAAATGAGTTAGATCTGTGCAGTTTGACATCTTCACCATACAACGTTACAATGACAGAAAAAAAAAAAAAAGGACATGATCCAGCTCCAACTTCTGGTTGTGCTTTCCAGAGCTTATCCTCCCTCACTATACGAAAGAATTACATGGCGTACAATTCTTGCACAATTACAGTGAACCCTTAAAATGTTATCACCCAAATGTTCAAACCCATAACAAAACATGTATACCAGCACCATTGCCCCACTGTCCCTGAGATTCTGTTATGACCTGTACCAGCAGGTGCACACCTTGAACTTGGGGTCTTCATAACATCAACACTTGGCCATTCTTTGCTTGCTGAATCACTCCATCACCACGCTACACTCACCATAACAAAATATTCTTCAGTTATTGCAACAGCATGGTTTTAATAATGTTTGAATTCTTAAAAATGTGGCTGTTTCAGGAAGTTAGCTCCAGATAAAACATATCCTACTATGTCTAAGGGAAATTTGAGAGAATGAGCGGCCATTTGTCCAGAGAAAGTAAGACGAATATCTGAAAGCTGAAAGCAATAGCAGAAGACATCCTCTGTGTGACTCCAAGTGAGAAAGGAAGACAAATGTCAAGATCAAGTTCATCTAGAGGAGAACACTGAGCTATCCTGACCTGGAAAGCCAGTCTCCAGGGGCAGTGAAGGGCCTGTTCTCAGAGGCAATAGTCATGATGACCACTTGGTGGGGATGTTACAGAGAGAATCCCCATTCTAGAAGGGAAGTTCCATTTCAAATTCCCATCTAAACTCAAGAGCAACTGATTCTAAGAAAGAGTAAATTTGAGGATTTTTTTGTACTGTTGGGAAACCCTCTCTTTTGGTAAGATGCATTGGCTTTAAAAGGTGTCTTAAAAAGGTGTCTGTACTGGCAGAAGGCTATGGTGGCACACTGACCACTAACAAGAATGAGTTGATCCAATTATCTCTTTCTTCTTCGATAGCTTAGAGCAAACTTGCCAGACTCAGGACACTAGCCAAGCAAGGAGGTTCTAGGACAATGTAATGTAAACAAACAAGCAGATGTGATTCCACTGAGTCTGATGAAGGATGACCTCATTCAGAAGTAGAGCAGCAATCTGATGGGGGATGAACTTAAAACTCCCAAAGAAATTCAAGGTTCAGAAGAGGTCAAGTTATTTCTTTACCTAGAATTTCGGCAACTCCATGTGTTTCCTCAGTTGGTGAAATTCTTCCTTTCCATCACCATCCCTCGTGCTCCTTGGGCAACCCTCCTGAGGGCTCTGGGTGGTCACCTCTGCAGCCCAGGACCTGGGTCCATGTTATTCCCTGCTAAATCCCACCACAGTTGTGAAGAACCAGACACCAAGAAAGCACTCAGTAGAGATATGCTCCTTCCTGAATCCACTGAACAAATAAAATCACATAAATATCCTGGGTAAATGGTGAAGAAAAAGTAACAATGAACCAATAATGTTTGCTCTTGCCCTCATGAAGTCTAGTGGAAGAGACAGAAAACTTTCTTAAAGTGAATGAATTCTATTCATAATTAAGGATTGAGCTAAGAGCAATGAAGGGGATAGACAAGGTATGATGGCAGAAGATATTCAGGTTGGGTGGTGAGGACGTGACACCTAAGCAGACGGCTGACAAAAGGAAGAGCTGGGGGATGAACTGAATGGAGAAACAAGTGATTGAGGAGGAGGCTGGCAAGGATGTTCCCACTGCCCAGGGGGAAAAGGACTCAGGGTCAGTGAGTGCTCCTACCAGTGGGGGAAGTGGCTTTTCTTTATGAGTGTCTATCAGCGCCAGGGATGAGGTACCAATCATGTCACCCACTTTTCAAAACAACCTTGGGGAACAGGACATATCCCCACCCTCATCTAACAGGGAAAACTAAGGCTCAGGAAGGGTAGGTAATGTGCCCAAGTTCACAAAACTTTTAAGATCATGTTTATATTGCATACCTCTGCCCCATTAGGAGTCAGGGGACAGACTTCCATGGACTTCCATGTTACACATGGGTAGCCTTTTTCTCTAGTTTGGGAACCCCAAGACTGAGGAGTACTGGCCTAGGGCTCCAACCTGGGAAGAAGCCATGTGTGCTGCTTCCTGGGGAAGACTCACCTGGTCTCAGGTGAGCATGCACTTGTCAGAAAACCTACACAGGTGTGCTTGGCCCAGTCCATATGTGGAAGCCACTGACTAAATTCTTCTCCTACGAAGAACCCTAATCACCTAAGCCTACATCCCTCTGAGAAGTCATTTATCCACTGAAGCTGACCATAGAAGCCTCCTGTTGGTGAGGCCACAAGGCCTGCCAGAGGTTCCCCTGCCCCCACCCCAACCAGCCAGCAGGAAGGAATGGGGTTGGTGGAGGGAGGAAGGAAAAATTCAGGGCTAGCCCATGAGAATTCTGCATTTTTACCCCTAAGCTTCCAGGTCTGGGGCCAGCAATACCTCTGTAGTTCAGACGTCTACGAGGCTGAGTTGCCATCACCCCACGAGGGTCTCTCCTCACAAGGCCACAGCACAAGTGCATTCACAAGCTGCTGCTCCTCGCCCCATCTTCTTTGAGTCTTGAGATAGTCTGAATCCAAGACAGCTCTGCTTTGACTCCCTTGACAGTGGAGCTAGCCCAATACTCACCTGAGCCAGAGGCTTCCTGGACTCCCTAGCCAGTGCTGTATCTGCCTTGCATTCTGAGCAGCCAGGTTTGGCCCTTGGCAAGCCCTGCCTTTCCCACAGCATCTGTCGTTCCAGGCCTCTCTCGCCCCTCTGCACATGCCAACTCCAGTTAGATTTTGTTACAAGTCCATATTCCGTGAGATATTTTTTCTAACCCACCACCTCTTGTTTTTTTCCTATTTAAAAAACACATGACATCAACATTTCTGAGGCTCTTCTAGTGTCCCAGGCAGGGTGAACTTTTTTTAAAAGAGACTAAAGTCAAGAGGAGTGAAGTTGCCCACCCAAGATTACCTTGTAAGCAACCAGAGGAGCTGGCACCGAATTTATACACAGGCAGTCTGCACTAAGAAGTAAGCTCTGTTGCTTATCTAACGCCTGGCCTCTAGCAGAATTCTCTCAGGCAATGCTAGCAAGCACACAGTTCCCAAACCCAGCCTTGAGGATGCATCACCCCTCAGCCATCAGCATTGCAGCTGGGAGCCACATGGTGCAGCAGACACAAGATGGCTTTTGAGCTGGTAAATTGTGGGTGTGAGTCTAGTTGAGCATAACTTAGATGCTCCCAGGCTGACTTTTTCTCTGTGTAAAATGAGCATAATATTTACTTCAAAGGATTTCCAAAGGTATAAATGAGGCAAAAGTAGGAAAGGCTAGCACACCATGTATTGTTGTATGTTGTGCCTGAAGCAGCTGGTGGAGTGGTTAAGATGGGGACGCTTTGAGATAAGGCTGTGTGACTCCAGTGCTGTGTGATCTTGGGTGGGTCTCTTTATCTCTCTGTTCTCCAGTTGCCTCTTCTATAAAGTTGCTACGATAATAGGATCTATTCAAAGAGACTGGGCTAGCTGACTGCCGGGTCCCAGTACCTAGAACAGAGCCTGGCACATAACAGAGAGTGAACAAATAAGTAGTGGAATGCAGCTCTTGTCACATGGAAGTACCGAATTGTGGCTGTTCTTAGTTCTGTTGTCATTGCTGCCATCTCACTGGCATAGCTCCCCTCTGGCAACCCCAAGGCACTCTTCATGTGCCAAGGACTCTTTCTCTTGGTCCATGTTCCCTCTTTTTTTTTTAAGAGCAGGCGCTCTTACCACTTGAGTCACTCTGCCAGTCCCTCCATGTTCCCTTGTCATCCAGCCCTTCAGCCTGCCTCAGTTGGTATATGCAGGTGTGGGAGTCCTGCAGACATGGGCTAGATCAGGGGTGCTGCCTCTTTGTAGAATCTACTTCCCAATCTGACTAATTGCCTGGACACAAATACACAGACACACAGACACACAGACACACACACACACACACACACACTCTCCCAGGTCAGAGAAAGGACTCAACAGATAGACACATTGCAGGTGTCTGTCAATTATTATCCAATAATCGGATGTCCAGAGGTGGAGCAGTCACTTAAAGAATCAAGCGTGCATGCTTGTGTGTGTGCAGGGAGGTGGGAGGGGAGTGATCAAATAGGAAGTGCCCTGGTGTTTATATTACAGTGCACACTGTTTAGATCCCCACTGGGAATATGTGTTCATTTGATTACTCTTAATCCCCTCTCATTCAAAGAGTGCTTGGCTGTTTTCTCTCCCTCTCCTCTCTCCTCTCCATTCATTTAACCCCAGCTGCTTCCAACTAGCTTTTGTCCACTTGACTCACTGGCCCTGTGCATGGGAAGGTACACACAAGAATGAGCATGTTTTTCTCTGAGGCAGCATGGCTCTGCCTGTCTGTCACCGCAGTGCTGGGGAGCACAGTTCTTTGCACATACAAGTGCCCGGCACAGCTGCAGAGCCGGGTGGTTTGCCTCGCGGTCCTCTGGGGAGGGGCTTGCCTGCTCGGCTTATCCTTCTTCTGGAGCTTGATCCTCTTTTGCTTGTCATGTTTCCTCCTGTACATGTCCTCTGGTGAAGAGTTCTTACCTGTGGATGGAAAGGCAGTCCTGGTGACAGGTAAGTGGACAGTGCTGCAATTGTCACTGAGTGCAGGAGATGAGGTTCTCTTTGCTTTAGCAGGACTCCTGCAGATTTGTCTTAAATAGGAGTATTTGGGATGGAGTAAAGGGAAATACGAATCCAAGCTTGGTTCACTACATCGTTTTGGTGTATTCTTTTTAGGAGGTGGTAAGAGGGAAGATGTGAGGTGTGGCTAAGCAATGGTTTTGCTAGTTTCCCAGGGATAAATGCTAATTAGTGTCATTTCATATGTTTCATTGCAACTGGGAGCATTCTATACATTTCTTTAGGCTTAAGTGGAATTTTGGCCAGTTTCTGGACCTGGTCACCTTCCCTAGGTGTGCAAGAAAAGGAGGCAAAGCCTAGCTTCCTTGCACCTTGCTGTGTCTCTGGGGACTCACCTGTGCCATAGACGTTGCCATTTGCCTGGTTGCTATCAAGAGCCTGTGTCCTGTCTCAAACTTTTCTCTCCAAGTGTGTCACTACACTGCTCATGCTTCTTAATTAGATCAAGTTGGCAGTGTGTCCACAAATCAAGTTGCTCATTAGCTGAGCTGCCAGCATTTCTCTTCTTTTGTGTTTTATTCCACTGAAAGTGTGAGGCCAAATTAAATTCCTTTGAGTTGTAAAACAGGTTGGTTTCGTCATGAAGTTTGAGCTTGGATTGGGCTTTAATTAGAATTACCCAGAGTTATCCTACCCCAGAAAGGCCTGGCAAGATGAGGAAAGGGCATCAGTTGCAGAATCCTTTGTTAGGAGGTTATTCCCCATGATGGGGACCTGCAGGGGTGAAGGCACACATTGTGTGTAGTTAGAAGGAAGTCATGGTCTTTGACAATTCACTGAAAAACACATGCTAAAGTGACTTTTTCTACCTCACCTTGTACTCTAACCCAACAGCAAAGTTCTTTCTTGAAATGCAACAGAAGTTGGTGCTTGTTGGACTTAAGTGCAGAAGATGAGCTTTTTTAAATAAAAAAAGTAAAAGGTAGACAACTGTCAATCGATGAGACATTTGTTTGCATGGGTATCTGTTATCAGCTGGAATCTTTTTTTTTTAATTTTTATTTTATTCATATTTGCATACAATGTTTGGGTCATTTCTCCCCCCTTCCCCCACCCCCTCCCTTACCCCTCCCCCTGTTACCCGGCAGAAACTATTTTGCCCGTACTCTAATTTTGTTGAAGAGAGAATATAAGCAATAAGAGGAAGGACCAAGGGTTTTTGCTAGTTGAGATAAGGATAGCTATACAGGGCATTGACTCACATTAATTTTCTGTACATGTGTGTACCTTCTAGGTTAATTCTTCTTGATCTAACCTTTTCTCTAGTTCCTGGTCCCCTTCTCCTATTGGCCTTGGTTGCTTTAAAGTATCTGCATTAGTTTTTCTGCGTTGAGGGCAACAAATGCTATTTAGTTTTTTGGGTGTCTTACCTATCCCCATACCTCCCTTGTGTACTCTCATTTGCTGCATCAGCTGGGATCTTTGGTCTTGGAGATTGGCTGGGTCTCTGACTTTGTCACTAGGACCCTGAGGTGGCTGATGGGATGGGGGACAATCTGGTGCACAGAAACAATGGTTGTGGTCTGTGTACAGCAGCAAGCGCTGAGAGACTTCAGACTCATTCTAGGTCAAACTTAGTTTTGTACACTCTTCCAATTCCATGAAAGAAGACAGAAAACTTAAACGTTCTGAAAAAAAAAATAGCAAGGTCATGATTGAAACTCATGAGCTCTCCCAGAGGTCCACGTTGTCCAGGAAAATCAAATTTAGGGTGTAGCACTTCTATGGATAATTAATAAGAATAATTAATCTTAGGGCAAACCAAGGCAAACCATGGAGTAGCTGAGAAAATAGGAATCCACTCTTGCTTGTTTATCTTGTCAATGTTCTTTATCCCCTGCTTTTAAAGTTGGAGACAGGTATTAATATCCACAACATACACACCCAACCCAGTGAGCCCATAATAGCCTTTGCAATTTTTGACTGTGGTTAATGTCCACTAAGATAACTGAACCAATTAGGCAATTCAAGTCCCATGACTAATCCCTAAATGAAATGCTTAGCAGTTAGAAAACTTAGAATTTAAAAGTGAGCTACATATATTTGAGGGAGATACAATGCTGCCTTCAGGTTCTCAGTCATTTTCACAAGGAAGACGTAGGCTCAGTACGATCAAGACCTTTGTACTTAGTGGAGAAATTTAAAATGATTTCCTTTAGTGAAACCCAAACCCATTAAAAAAAAAGCAACAGCAGCCACCCTCAAGGGTAAGTTTGGAATAATCTTTGTTTCAAGTTAGAGGGCATTATATAAATTGGTATGCATTTTGGTGGGGGTAGGGTGTGAGAAGAAATATAACAGTGTACATCAAAAGCTAGGGAGATTATTCCTTTATCTGATAATTCGTCTTAAAAATTCTTTTAAAGATACATCCTGGGGGCGGGGCATGGGGCTCAGCAGTAGAGTGCTTGCCCTGCGTTGGTCCCAAGCATGCAAACAAAACAAAATAAGTAATCCTGAAATATGTAAAAAAAAAAGTAGATGTAACACAGGATGATATTTTCAGTACAATCTTATTTAAAATAGTGAACTATCAAAACGAACCAAAATAGTGATAATCTACATTACCTCCTCTGGGTGTGAGACTGGATAGCCGTTAAAGATGACAGCCACAAGAACTGTGTTGCAACAAAACTGCTTGGGTGATAGGAAAACACAGAGGAGAACCAAGTGTCCAAACAAGAGTGCACCCTGTCAGAGGCACAGGCAGTGTCTGGGCGGAAAGCTGTGAGGACAGCTGGGAGGAGGTGGCTTGTCCATGGTTGGAGGAAGGAAGGAAATAGTAGGAAATAGTATGTAAATGGTTGGAGTAGATTACTTGGATGTTTTTCTGCCCCTAGATTCCAATTTCTGTAGTGTTGTTATAGTATTTACACCATAAAACACTTAAGAAAGAGAAAACGTTGAGTGGATTGTGTTCATTTTAGTTCCTATTTAATTATAGACCCAGGTGAAGGACAATTACAAAGACAAATTCAAAAATAACAGTTTCCTGTGAGTGCTTTATTTCATTTTGCTATGATGTTCAAAGCTCTTTTGCCTCAGAGACAATTTAATTACACTAGACATGCATAGAGCGTTTGAACATGTGTTTGTCTCCAAGGTTCCTGAAACTATAATGGCCATTGGGTTTTTAAAAATGTCTGTAAAATTAATGTAGAGCAGCAGGTCAGCACTTTTGCAAAGAAAAAAATTTATTGGGAAGGCTTCTGTAAACTGGAACTGATAATATGCCCTCCTCTTTATTATCATTATTATTGTTCTGTTGTGACATTTACAAAAGTTCTTACAACATATCATAGTTGGACTCATCTCCTCCATAATTCTCCTTTATCCCTTCCCCCCATTCCTGGAATAGTTTTTCCATTTTCATCCACGAGTACATAGTATTTCCACACATTCATCCTCCTACACCCTTTCCTTATATCTTCCTCCTCCCATTGGTCCTGACCCCAGAAGGGACCTGTTTTACCTTCCTGCTCTCTGTTTTTGAAAAAGACATTTGTGTTTGTTTAAGATAGCTCTACAGGGAGTTTCATTGTGACATTTCCATGAATATATGCGTATAATATATATGCATTATATATATTATAATATATGCAATACCATCCCTGCTATTTTTCTCCTTTCTACCTTAGTCCCCTTCTTCTGGTGATTTCAACACATTTAAAAATTCTGCATTCATTTCTGTATGGAAAGTACACTAACTACATTCACCTTCACTTCTTTCTTTTACCCTTCCTCTCCCATTAGTGACGTCCCCTTGGCATGTCCTGTTTTTCATAATATTGCTGTATTTGTATTGGGCCTATATTCCACACATGAGAGACAACCTGCGGCCTTTGGCCTTCTGCACCTTCATGCCATAGTTTTATAGATTGAGTTAGTGGAGTGGCGTGGGGGAGTGAGACAATTGAGTATTGAGGTGGTGAAGGAAAAAATTGAGGAGAGGTTGGGAAGAACAAAAGGAGAAAAGAAAAGAAAAGAAGGAAAGGTTGATAAACAGGTAGAGAGATAAAACATTAATTCATTTAAAATTCATTGAGAAATGTATAAATGGTGATATGCACCATTTATTTTCCAGAAGTGATGGAGGCAGAAAAATTTGAAGGTCATGCAATTATTGGCAAGTGGTGGGATTAGAAATTCCTACCTCTCCTTGACCTTGGACCCACATTCACTGGATGGCTCCTTATCTTAGGTTGTGGCATCCATCCTTCTCTGCTACTGTCTGAGCCTGGTAGGAGACGCCCAGGCAAGTTTGTTTTTTTACCCTCAGGGCTTTCCATGGTCTTTCCAATCTTTCTCAACCACCTTAAGTGTCAACTGCTGATTTGGCATGACAGGCTTCAAAGTCCAGTGGGCAAGACCTGGCCACACCTGACTGCATCTATGCCTCTCTTCTGACTGCATCTGTGCCTCTCTTGGAGGCAGCTCCAGGAGAATTCTCATAATGAAGGGGATCTCCAAGGGGATGATGTCACCTGGGAATTACTAAATAGTCCAATTAAGGTTCTACAAGTTGAATGCTGTCGACGTCGTCCAGGGATTTGGGCTCCTTTGAACTTAACGTTGTATTACCAAATGTATAAACATTGACAGCAGATTAAGAGACTAAAGAAGTAACACCTCTGCACTCAGAGATTTACATGCATTTTTTTTGTGGTGCTGGGGATCACACCCAGAGCCTTGAACATGCTAAGCAAGCACTGTTTCACTGAGCTACAGCCCCCAGTCCCTCACATGCATTTCCTACCTGATTCTCTCAACCCCAATAGTTTACATTTTGTGGGCTAGGAAATTATGTGTTCAAAGTCTCTGACCTAAGGTATCAGAGATTGCACTGAACCCAGATCATATCCACTTGCTACAAAAGCCATCTTCCTAACCACCATCACTAGCAGTTGTAGCTGTAGTTAGTATTAGGCCAC